TAAGGGGGTCTGAATACTTTCCGTACCCACTGTATATATAATGAACAGGTTAATGGTTAATGCACATTTTGACACAGTGAAATGTGGTGCCCATATGTGTGACACAAGTTAAAGCCCGGTTCATTTTGTCTGCCAATTCTCGTGTCCATATTATATCTGGTCTTTTTCTCTACTATGCCTATCAATAAAACATTAAGGGTTTCTATATTGAAACCCCAGTAGTGTCATTTCATGAACTGGAGAGGGACTGGGATCTCCCATCACCATCATGCCCTTGAGCAGCCTCAGGTTGCCCCAGGGTGACTGTCCATATAGTAAAGGTACTGCAAATCTTGTGACTAAAATGTTTGAAAAGTATGAAAATAAGCTTTTCCTGCTGCATGCAATTAAAACCTAATAATGTGATGCTGTCATATTCAGGAAAAATAATTGGGTGAGGGCTAATACCAACCCAGCAGTTTTTCTAAGAATGTATTAACTAATAGGTCAGATAAATTAGGAGGAAATCCAGTGCTGTGCCTGTTATCCAGGCAGAAAGGAATCGACTGCCTAGAATTTGATTGCCTGTTGCATTGCTATTCTCACAGTAGCTGTAAATTGTCTGGTGCTTTAATGGATTTTGGTGTTTGCTGATTAGCCCACCATCCCCGCATGTTTCCTCCTCATAGCAGCATATCACCGCAGTACAGAGCATCTTCAGAATCTTCTTCCATTAAAACTGGGTGAATCATCTCTTCTCTGCCTTAGTCCGAGGATGTGGCCAGCATTTTGCATAATATGAACTGCAGTTTGAGGTGTAAATATGTTAGGTTATCATTTGTGTTTAACCAGATTTATTTGTAAACAGAAATGTAGCACAAGTACACTGGTTTTTAGATACATTCACTCGCTCTCTCTGTTTGTGCCTCTAGCTACACAAAATAAAATACTATAAAAAGCATTGTTTGTCAAGACCACTGGACAGTATACTAGTCTAAAAAACGTTGTGCAGCAGCGCCATCTGCTGTCTGGAATGTTACTTTCGCCTATTACCATTTAGAAAAAACAAAATGTCCCCCCACTAACTGGAATCACTGAAGTAAGTCTTGAGAAATTTTGTATGTCTGGGGGGATGAGCCGCGGCCCACACTTGTTATCCAATCATACAAACTTGAAAACAGCTGTCGGCCAATGGCGCGAGTTTTGGATGGGACTTTTGGCCAAATCGTGT